TAAACTGAAATTCAAAAAATTATTTTCGAATTGCAAAAATTAAAAAAAATTGATAATTAAGTTTTTCGTATATTATTAAAATTTTATAAATAATTATTTTAAATACTATTTAATTGTGCGACCTTTATTATTACAATACAACATTATTTCTGAAGGAAGATATAATAATGTTGACAATGATACATAAACAAAGTAATGATTTTATGCTTGAAAAAAGAGACGGAAGAATAAAAAGGATAAACTAGAACAAACGTGATAAATATATATTAAAATTCATTTATTACTAGTAAAAATGTCAAGACCATCTCCAATTTAAATATTAATTTAAATTCTGCCAGGAAGCATCGGCATGCGTACTGACCATACTTGGTGGATGCATCGATGACTTTGACACGCAACAAGCTTCTTCGCTTAATAAACGACGCCGATATTTTATCGAAGTTTTTTTATTATTTGAACAAGTTGACTTTTCTCGCTTTAAGGAAGATGTTAAGTGTGACGTACATTGCGCGCAGTGAAACTACGTGTTTGCAGTTAGAAAGGTCACTTCCGCATCACTGACTAATTAATTCCTTTAACTACAAATTAACAGTTCGACAAGTAAATGATTGATTTGATGTTCTGCATCATTTGTAATTATTGCGAATATTATTATTATTAACTGAGAAAATCTATCGGTTTTATTCTTTTTTATTTTTTCTAAAAGCTGTAATTGTCGGGACTTTCTCTTCTGCTAGTTATAATCAAAGTTTCTATAGAAAATATTTATTATCTGTCAAATAATTAAAAAAATTATTTGTTAATTTTATATGAAGAAAATAAGATGTTTTGCGCAAAGTTCGTTAAAGTTCGTTAAAGTTTCATTAAAATTTGCGTTTGGGATTATTGTAAGACATAAACATTCTTGCTAAATATATTTTCGCTATCGATACTATGGCGAATCGGCGGTTGGCGAGTGCTAATTTATTGTCTTCTAGCAACGTCAATCTCCCTGATTGTCGTTATCATCAACGGTCTGCCCACGCGGAGGCGAGAGAAAATTTTCCAGACACGTCTAATCATTGCGCTACAAGAGCTATCTCGAGTAGGAAGAAAGTGCGCCGCTAAAAGCGCGACGTGCGTGCTTTCACATAAATATTGGCTTGATAAATGTACCGGCCAAGGCGTTATGGATGGAGAATATTAGAATGGCACATGGCGATCGCCGCGATGGCCGTGCGCTATTGTAGGCGTAGCGAGAGAGCGTAGATTAAACGCGATCCCAATCAAGACGATTCACGAGCGCGCTTCCGCGTCCTTCGACGGAAACGTTGCACTCGATCCATCAACAATTACGACGATTAAGATTTGCGTGAACAATCGGGAACGCGCGAGCGAGGAGCTCGTTGCTTTGTTAACGCTCCTGTCAGAACGGTGCTTCCAGAAATAACTCGCGATATATAGCGAGATAGAAAGGAGGTAAGGAGGGAAAAATAGAATGAAAAATGTTGTATCTTTGGCCTCTGCGTTCCCCCTCTTCCTCCTCCTCTTTCTCAGCCCAACATTTGTAAAAACCTAAAAGAAAAGTTTATTAATATTTAATCAATCTAATACGAAAAAATTAAATATATATATATATATATATATATATATATATATATATATATATAAAATGAATAATATTCTCTAAAGTTTTTAGTTGATGTATTCTAAATATACTTCACTGCAGTTAATTTTTATGTTAAAATATTTGGATCCTAAAAAAATTTTCTTACATTTTGTATGTCCTAATTTTGGCGATGTGATTTATTTTCTTATATAGTAAGTTGGTACAACGGACATTAAGGTCAGGCTTTCGAATGCACTTACAACCGGATTATTCCCGCGACAAGTTTGCAATTGCATTATGAGCGTATCCACCGACGTCAGGATTAACCTGTTGAGATAGACTAGTCCCTCCCGAAGATGATAGATCAAGGTGTATACCGCAAAGCCGCGAGATTAGTCACCAATAATAAACGGGTTGACACGTCCGAGACAATTATATCCCGGTATCCTACGCGAGGCGGCCATTAGCCCGCGGCGCACAATGTAACACCCGCGTAGGAACAATAGGAAGCTCGTGCACGATGATTGATCGCCCAGCTGGATGCAATCGTATCGGCTGGATACCCTCGAGAGTTCCTCCTCCTTCTCCTCCAACCGACTTATCTCTTAGCTCTTCGTCTCGCGGCGGTTGCGCCGCCGTCTTGATGAGTTTTTGCTAAGTTCACCGGTTAGGCTAACTACTGCAGTCGGCAGTTTGCATACGAAATACGTACGGCAGTCTATAAATTTTGTTTCATTGCGTACGTATAATGTGCGTACGTGCGTGTGTACCATTGCGTTTCACGTCGATGCGGTTTTAGAGCTCCTCCTACGTGTTCCTCCTCTGACTCGTAGTCCGCGAGTCTCAATTGTTTTCTAATTTGTAAAATTTGAATTGACAAATTCTTCCCCACCTGCAGTTTTTCTAATTCTTAGATTTTCTCAATTGCGCTTGCATATTTTTTTCTTTCTAATTTTATTCTTCGGTACGAACGGAACATGGGATCGGGGTTTTCGATTGGATTGCAAATCGTCTTAACCTCCTCGATTTAATCGAGCTTGTTCTTTCCATTCGGTATAATTTGATGGGTCGATCGACGAGACTGAAGCGACTGAAGGTTAGTTTCGTCTGGTCGCGACTGTCTCATGCGTAGATCGCGATCGAGATCGCGTGGGTCGTAAGCGAGCTGCATCGAGAGACTTATGCAAATTCAATTTAGCCCGCCTGTGCAGTGGAGGAGGACCAGTCGGCTCAAAGACTTTACAAATTTCTATGTATTCTTATTTAAAGAATATTGAAATGCTATATAATTCTTTTCACACAAAATGTCTCTTGTATTATTGGGCATAATATGTCAAATGTATCAACTTCTATGAATATTTTCAATGCAAATTTTAATTAATTGCAGTTGCATCAAATATAAAGAATATAAATCTAAAAGTCAAATTCATTTTACTCGCTTCTTCAATTTGTTAGCTCTATTTTTATATATTTTATATTAATAATATGTATTAATAAATATATATATATATATATTTTTTTTGTTATTATTATTACATATAATATATTACATATATATTAATATATAATATATGAATCTTGCATATTTCATCTTCTTCTTGA